GCACATAACAACAACAACAACAGCAGAAAGAGAGCTGTGCTGCAAACTCAAATGCAGGTGGTTCAAATCCATCAGCTGTTCTTAAGGAGAAAGACAGGCAATCTTCTCCCATTTAATTTACAGCATCTGAAAACCCACCTTATGTTTAGCTATGAGTTGGTTCCAATTTGATACTACATAATAACAACAAAAACATAACTCATATATTCCAACCATATTTTACCTGAGCATTTTTTTACTATTACACTAGTTTATTTACAAAATCCAAATACATTGTTTTCCAGAATATATTCTTCCAATTTTCCTCACCTCCCCTACTCATCAAATTGTACAACTCCATGATTAATCCCCTCTCACCCTGCACATCCTCATCCCTCTGCTTCCACCTCCCCCCCTCCCTAGATCCTTATACTCATTCTACAAAAATGGTTTAAAACAATTATTTGTCTTTGTGGGAATGAATTAGTTCACTCAGCATAATGCACATCACCATTTCTTATGTTTTATATTGTCTATACTAATGTTCAATAATATTTTCCCTGATTATTTCTTCTTATTTTCCTCAAACTTACCCTCTATGTTTTCTTCATAGTAAGAAAACCAATAATAGTATATAATTCATTTTCATATTGATAGACTATTTTTCTTTTATAAATTAAAATTATCATTACTGTATAAAAATATATCCACACACTTAACAAAATGAAGTTCTGAAATTATTTTGCTGAGATCACTTACTTCTGTGTGTAGAGAGCTGCTACCTGCTAAAAGGCGTTCAATGCTGGTAGGAGGGCAGTGGGTCAAAGCAAAAGCCAAGAGCTCCTGACGAGTAGCTATATCTTGATACCCTTCAGATTGTCCTAATTGGCTACAAACATTCCAACTTTTAGAAAAACCTGAAAAATTGTAAAAGAAAATAAATATTTAAAAATAGTACTCATTTCCAAAAGAAGGAAATCTGAAAATCTAAGATGACTAATCACATGCATTTCTGGTCAGGTGCTGGGTTCCCAAAACAAAATCCGAATTACTAATTGATGCATAGAACCTTATCACACAAACTGAAAAGCACAATAATTTAAGACAGAAAGAGATTAGGTTGGTTTTTTACTCAGTTAACTGTTACTCCAGATACATTTTTCCCAAAAAGTGCATGAAATTCTTGGCTGATAATAAAAACACTTCATCATCATCAAGTCAAACCAACTCATTGCTGATGCACCAGGAAGTTTTGCTGTAAATCACATGGAAGGAGAGGTCCACTTTTCTGTCACACAGAAACTGGTGATTTGAACGCTGCCTTTTGGGTTAGTAGTGCTATAACTTGCCCACTAGGGCACCAGAGAAAAGAACTATAAATATTCTCATCAGATTTGATAATGAACTGAAAGCTTTATATTTAAATTTACCAGGAGAGCTTTGACGTGTTCTTATGCTTTGTCACTCGTGTGAATTTGAGAAAAATGTCTTGAATTGCAAAAGAATAAAGATATCGCCTACCACACTGGGAAAATTAAAGGATTAAATAATGTATTTTTAAAAGCACTTTATAGTAACTTACATAGAATCACACAGTTTATAAAAGATAAAGGCTCAAGAACAGTGTCAAAAAACAAAACAGCAACCCCTGACTTGGAGTGGAGGTTTTTTCCTTATACATTTTTTACACTTGTAATTCTTAAAATATGCTTTCATTTTATTTGAAGGGATTTCAAGTACCATAAAGTTTTCCTTAAACCCAAGAACAAAAGCCTCATTCCAGAATAATTTTCCTAAGTATATAAAATAAAAAGTAACTCAGGGATCACCTCTATATGAGTAAACTTAATACAAAGCATGAACATATAAAATTGTATTAGATTAATATAATCTTAGATAAAAACATAATAGTACATCATTGGTTAATATTATAACACAGAGCTCTTTCATGAAACTCATTTTCTAATGCTGTGGTAAAGAAGATTAAGTTTTATTTTTTCCAGTTTCAAAATTATTTTTACATATAACAAACAATTTTTATGTAGTACATAAACATTACATTGAAATGGATTAAACTGTGTCCCCTCAAATACATGTATACAATAATATAACATGGAAGCTAGGAAATGACTTCTCATGATCTTTTAAACTAACTAATCAGAAGAGATTCAAGGACGGAACGCAACAATCCCATCACACTCCTAATCAGGCATAAGGAGAGTTCACCTAGGTTCACTTAGGACATCAGGTTGAGAGAGACAGAGGCTCAGAACCTCAAGAAGGAAAGAAAGGAAGACCCTCAGGAGATGGCGTGACAAAGTGATTACCACAATGGGCCCTACAACGACAGAGATCACAAGGATGGTGTGAGACATGCCAAAGTTCAAACCTGTTGTTTACAGGTTTGCTATGAGTCAGAGTTTACTTGAAGGCACCTAAAACAACCACCACCTAGGGTGTGGCCTATAATACTTTTTGAGAGGGGGCTCGGTATCAGCACGAAGAAATAAATCACCAGGAGTGGAATGAGTCTTTCCTAGACTCCTGTAAAATCAAGTTCTTTGATGTTGGGGAAGGCCAGAAGCCATGGAGGTAGCTAGGAAACAAGAAGCCCACAGAGGTAAAGGAAACAAGGACTGTCTTCCAATATGTAGGGGGGAGGGCCTTCCCACAGAGTTTGTCACCTCAAGTTTTCACTTTTGCCTCCTAAACAATGCAGAATAAATTTCTGTTAAAGCTGTCCACTTCTGCTATTTCTGTTACAGCAACAGTAACTAACTAAAGGTAAAGACAAATACGTATGTTAAAATGCACCTACTTTATGACTTATGACTGAAAGTTCCCTGAGTCATCATGAAGTGAAGCTTAAACTACTCAGTACTAAGTATGCACCGTAGGTAGAAAGACGTGTGTGGGCTTCCATAAACCGAAGCCCAGTTACAGAAAGTATGTCATATAATAGGAATCCACGATAAGACTATTGTTACTCAGCTGGAAATGTGAAAGAAATTATTTGATAATAAAATAAAAATTCCTAGAAAGCCAAATTTAAATTTCAAATGCAAAATTTTAGGCTCCTGAATTACTCAATTTCTCAATAGTACTTTCAAAAGTGTTGTGTAACCTGAAGGGGTGGGGGAGTGGAATGGACTAAATGTTGTTATGTGCCCTCAAGTCTGACCGACTCATAGGTGACCCTCCAGCAGGTTTCCAAGGAATGTAAATTACATGGGAGGAATTGCTCATCTTTTGTCATTGTAGCAGCTGGTGGATCTGAACCACATGCCTTTACATTTGGCAGCACAACTCTTTATCACTAGGACACCAGAGCTCCCATAGTGACTACACAGTAACAAATTATAAATACATAAAAAATATAGATTTCCTTTCATATAAAAATATATGAAATACTAAAACATTGCTATTGAATCAGAACTAACTCAAGCTGACCCTTCAGCATGTTTTCAGAGGGTTTACATCATGCGAGAGGAGCCTGACCATTTTCCTCCCTTGAAGCAGCTGTAGATTCAAACTACCTGTGTGTTACTAGAATATTTTACATAAAAAATTGTTCTTAAAATTGAAAGTATGTTTCTAAAAGAGAATGGAAGCACATAAAAAATCAGCCAAAATAGAGCCCTTGAATAGAAAGAAGTATTTATATTAATATGTAACTATGTGGACTAAAAAGTTAATCCATGCTCATAAAATATTTCTCAAACCCTATAAAGAAAATGTGACTAGTTTACCAATCAGTCCGATTGACTTTAAAGCAGATCTTTTAAATTATTCCTTATATAAAGAAGACATAGGAGTTTTAAAAGCTTCTTCACCTGTAGCCATCAGCTCCTGACAATGCATATTCGCTGCCTTGTAGTCATGGAAACGGAGGGCTTGCTCTACTAAAAGAATCAGAACCTGTCCTCTTCTTTCTTCAGTGTCATCACCTGTAAAAACATGTAAATGATGTAAAGATTACAGCAGCATCAATTGATGAAACAGCCAATTAAATATCTTTCAAATAAAATCCAAATGACCCTAGTTTTTAAAAGATTAAAAGACAACAAAAATAAAAAGATAAAGAAAAAAAGATCAAAAGAAAAAAGCAGTAGTAACTCTGATCTTGCTATGTCTTTATTGAATCAAGGTTCCTCTAAGAGGTCACTAATTATTATCAGTTCCCAAAGAAAATAATATTGATCTAGTCAGAAAATTCAAAATTATAATTGTCTATAAATCCACAGAGGAGATTTAGTATTACTGAGGTTAAAGAAAAGAGAAAATCCATTTGGATCTGAACTATGCAGAAGAATCCACAGCAAGCTTGTATATAAAAATATATTTTCCAAGCTTTACATAACTTTAATTGTACAAATATAATTAACAAACTGCCTGTATTAAATAAGACACTATTACTTTGCAAGTCAGTAAGCAATAAATGGTTTGGGTTTTGTTTGGTTTGGGGTTTTTTTTAAACAGTGTGATAATGATGTGTATTTAGAATTAGCCAGCCGGACACAGGTTTAGATGATCCCAATTTTGTTGGCAATATTCAAGGCATCATAGTCAGGCATAAGTTGAAAATAGCCTTTTCTCCATCAGGCCTACTCAAAGTGTTGACCTTGACCACATCATTAGTATAGAGCTTCTTTACAGCTTGTATGATTTGGTGCTTGCTGGCCTTGACATCCACAATGAACACAGCATGTTGTTATCTTCTATTTTCTTCATGGCTTGGTCAGAGGGAACTTGATGATGGCATAGTAGTCATGCCTGTTTCTCCAGGGGGTGCCCTTCCAGGGTATTTGCACTGCCTTCCGAGTCTCAGTGTCTTTGGCTGCCGGAAGGTGGATGATGTGCAGATCTTTTTTCTGTGACTATGGATGCCCTTCAGGACTGGCCTTCTTGGCCTTTAACATCTTTGCTTTGGCTGCAGTTTTGGGAGGGGGAGGGGCTTCCTTCTTCACTACTGGCACCATCTTCATAAAAAGGGTCAATTTTTTTCCCAAATATATTTTTATAAACTAAAACACATTTTTATTGGGTATCACAACTATCAATAATAGACTAGACTGCTTTCAGTAGGGTAGTAAAAAGTATTTGCATGAATGCCCTATTTGTTAGGGGTTCTGACTCACAGTGACCCAATGAAAACAGAAGGAAACACTGCCAGTTCTTCTGCCATCCTCATAATTAATTCTGTGCTCCAGTCAATCCACTGGCAATCTCCTCCCTGCTCCCTCAAGGATCACTCTTTACAGGATCCAACTGCTATGTTAGGCCAAGGTACCTTCTGAAGAGTTACATGATGCAAGGGAACAACAGAGGCCTCTCATCAACACTTCTGGGTAACCGAGCCCTCCTGCCAACAGCCATATGAGTGAGCTGTCCTAGAAGCAGATCCTATCTTCAGTCAAGCCCTCAGATGGCATCTACAAAGATTCCCTTTGAACATGAGGGTATGATCAACTCTGTGAACAAAATGCAATAAAATGTAGCTGCTAAAATACCAAAACTTGATAGAAAATGTCCATACAAATTTGTAGGTTTCCTTTGGATCACTAGCTCAGGTTATCTTGAGCCATCATTTATGAAATCAAGGTTTGTTTGAGGCCACAAAATGGAATGCTCTCAAGGAGGAAGCACATGGAGGAGCTTGAAGAGTGCTAGCTATTCCAGCTCTCAGCTTTTTAAGCTCAGGTGCCAGATATCGTAATAAAAACCTTTACTAGTTAATGACATCTTCCTCAGCCATTACATGACTACAACTGCCTAGAGATAAAAATAAATAATTGTTGTCACTAAAATTTTAGGTGGTTTGTAAAATAGCAACAGAAAACCACTTTGATGCAGCTTAAAATGTGACTTGCTTTGTGCTCCTTTCCTTTTTGCAAACAAAAACTAGCATTGACTATCTACTTTTTAAACATTTGTTAATACAAACCATGTACTACTATCAAATCCTCTGTTACAGTTTGTTTGTCTACTGCCCTAAAGTTGTAGTATAAGCTCCATTTTAAAGTTTAGAGAATATCAATGAAACCACATAGAAATAGCTCCAAATATTAGAACTAAAATGGCTATTATAGTAACATTATTAAAAGTTCTAAATGGCATCTATTATGGATAGCTGCTCCTGTGTTACTGAAGAAGACTGTTCTTCCATTAAAATTTGCAAATTGCCACTGATAGTACTGTTTACTACATCAGGATGTCAAGATAAATCTGAGTAGCGTAAGTGGTGAAGCATCTGATTACTAGCTATAAGTCTGAAGGTTTTAATGCAACCAAAGGTAGCAACCCAATGTTCAACAGATTAAAACAGTCTGGCCCTGTGCCATCCTCATAGAGGCTTTCATATACAGAAGTTGTTCTTGTTGCAATTTGTAATCAAGACCCACAGCTGATTGTCCAGCAGGTTTTCAGAGCAGTAAACTGCACAGTAAGAGGCTACCCATCCTTCTTCCACAGTGCAGGTGGTGGACTTAAACTATGTGCCTTTGGGATTGCAGTGCAGCTTCTTACTACTAAGCCACCAGAGCTTCCTGATAACCCAAAAGTACTACCTTGTTAACACGTGAAAGATCACCCACAGATGATTAAAGCAAGCTATGAAGATATTATGTTTTAGTGAAATATCTCAGTCACAAAAGGATAAGTACTGCATAATACCACTGTTATAAAATAGGACTGACCTGAGGAAGTTAGGGTAGAATGGGCAAAGATTGGCTAAATAATGAACAATGCACTGGAACAAATGAAGTGAAGGAATATCTGAAAGGAATGTATCAATAGAGATTATATGCATGCATGGCAATGGACAATCTGGAACAAGAGGTGCATTACAAAGTGGGGTGGGGGGAGGGCTAAGGAGAAGGAAGGAAAAATCTGTGCAATAAGGAATGAATGAAAACCCAACCTTTGTTGAAATCACAATAAAAGAAAAGAACAAACTAGGAAGTGGCACCCACCTTCAAGTGGCACTCAGGGACACAAACCATACGTTAGATATGCTTCTGGTTAAAGGGCAGAGTGCCTGGGCCCCCACATGGAACAGCAAGGTCTACAGAAGAGAGTTTTCCCAAGCACAGGTCCAGGATAGAGAAGCTGCCCAGGGTGACAGCAGTCCCAGTTACAGCTCCTTGTTCTGCAAACAGTGCTCAAAGCCTTTTCTCCCAGAAGTCATTGTTTGTTTAGTTCTGCTGGATATTTACATTTATCCTTGGTGTTTTCCTCTTTTAACTAATGGAAAAATTAGTACCTCTATCTAACATTAAATGAATACTTGTGGGAGGATTCCATAGGGTAAACTGCTACAAAATTCTATTGGCAGATTAAAGAAACGACTCATTTTAAATTGTTGATACAAAAAACCATTGTCCTCCTTTCTCTCCTTTCTTCCATCCGCCATTCTTTCTTACTTTGTCTATTTTTAACTTTGTATTGAGACTTGAATGAAAGTTTGCAGAACAAACGGGTATTCCATTCCATAATTTATACAAGTTCTGTTTTATGACATTACAATCACCACACTGTAAAAATTCTTCCTATTCACTCCCAGTGTCTCCAATTTACATTTCAGCTTCTTTCCTGTTACTTCCTTCCTTCTGAGTTTCATACCTGGAAAAAATACTAATCTTTTGATCTTCTGTAGTTGATTTTTCCAACAAGTGTGATGTTACTATTCACCTTATAGGTATGTATAGGTTTGCCTAGAAGTTGAGTCACAGGTAGATTTCAGATCCAGGATTATAAAGTGACTGTAATTTTCTCAAGGATGCACCAGGCCTTGGATCATAAAGCTTGGTATTTCTTTGATTTCAATTTTTAATCTTGTAAGAGACTTCTGGTGGCATAGTTCAAATTTACCAGCTGCTCCAAGAGAGAAGACTGGGCAATCTCCTCTCATGCCATTTACAGCCTCTGAAAACCTCCTGGCAGATCAGCAATGATTAAGTTCCAACTCAGCACCATGGAACACCAACAATCTCATACCCACTTTGTGGCTTCCTGTCTAAGACAGTCTTCATTTAAAAATTCCAGGAGCCAGATACAGGCGTACTTTGTTTTAAATGTCAATCTTTCCAGAAAGATTAATCTTAAAAAAAAGGAATATTCTTGACACACTTAAACATTTATTCTGATGTTTACCTAAGTGATGAAAGAAATCTAATTCTGCAAGTTTATCACGCAGAAGACTTACCTGCTACCCTCAGCAACTCAGCAAGGCCCAGAAGCTTGGCTGATTGTTTGTAGCACATGGGAGACTGAGAAATACATTCTTGGATGAGGCCAATCCGATTAGAGAACAATCGCACTGCAATGGAAAAGAGGATCACAAACTTTTCACCAGAAGCATTACACAAAAGTGTTAAGACATGTCCGATGTAAGGAATGAAACAGAATGAGAAGTGTGTTTGTTTCCAGATCAATGTGCCTTTAGTAAAAATAAAATGCATAATTTTAAAAACATTAAGACTATTATTGCAATTAAATAAAGTACAGATCTTTTATCACCAAACTTCCAAACTCAATAAATGAACTGCTACTTTAAAGCTAAAAAATATGTTATACTTTCAAGTTTAATGTTAGGCTAGGAATTTTTTTTAAAGAAGGAAATATTAGTCTTTGATAATTTCACATATTTTTTTGTGACATCAGACCCTGTTAGCAACTCATTCTATTACTGCACCTTCCCCTATCAATTTGCATTACCCTGGTTTAGAGTTTGTATTGCTGTTGATGCTGTTGTTAGGAGTAACTGAGTCTACTATGATTCATGGAGTCCACCCAATCCAGAATGATCTTATTTTAACTCAGTTAAAATAAAATGTCACATTACTGGTATCAGGGATTAGGGCTTCAACTTATCTCTTTGGAAGACACAGTTTACCCACTATTTCATATGTGTTTATTTGTGTGTGCAGGAGAAAAAGAGCATGTGTTTGTACTGGTGAAACCTAAATACAATGACTGAGGTCTTTACAAAGACAGGGATATCTGAAAACACATATAATCCACAAACAGAAGGGCAACGGGCATGTGAGGAAAGAGAAAGAAACTGGATTGATCCAACTAGCAGTCAAAGAATGTCAAGAGCTAATAATAGCAATCCTAACTGGCAGCTAAGGAATTGTTAAAAAAAAAATTTAAAGGGAGTATGGACCAGCTGAAACCTTGATTTTAGATTTCTGGCTTCCAAAGCTATGAGAGAATAAATTCCTACATTTTACTATACCTTGGTGCTACTGTTGTTGCATGCCATAGAGATAATTCTGACTCATGTTATTGTTACTTGTCTTCAAGTTGGAATCAACCCTTAGCTGACCCTCCAGTGATTTTTCAGAGGCAGTAAATCCCAAAGGCAGACACTGTTTATAACTCATAACTTTGGCTGGCAGCACACTCTTTACCCTAAGCCACAAAAGCTTCGATACTGACACCATAGTAACAAATTGTGGCTCATGTTTTTGTTGATCTTAATGTCAATGGTTCAACTATGACTCACAGTGACCCTACGAAGAACAGACTTGAACCCTGTCCTATCCTGTTGTCATCCTCTTCATCTCTGATACATGTGAGCCCACTGTTGCAGTCACTGTGCTAATCCATCTCATTGAGGGTCTTCCTCTCTTTCCCTGACCTTCCACCTTTCACAGAATGATGTCCTTTACCAAGGACATACACAAAGTAAATAAGGCAAAGCCTCATCATACTTGGAGCACTGTCACTGGACTATCCCCAAAACATATCTGCTTATTATTTTGGCAGTCCATGGGATGGTCAGAACTCTTCTCCAACACCACACCTCAAAGGTATTGATTTTTCATCTGTCATCCTTCTTCAATGTTTAGATCTTGGATGCATAGTAAGTGAATGAAAAAAATCATGTCAAGATTCAGGCCCACCTCAGTCTTCAAACTTCTACCATTGCTCTCTAGTAGTTTGGAGAGGACACAGGCAAAAACACTTTCCCAATGTAATACATCTTTTGATTAACTAACTGACAGCAAAGAGTGTGCTAATTTTCGATACAAGTAAGCTGAAGTCTTTAACAATTACAATTATTTCTTCATCTAGCACACTATTGCCTATCTGACCACTGGTAAGAATTTTTGTCTCCTTGATGTTGAAGTGCAATCCATACTGAAGGCTGTAGTTTTTTATATTCTGTAACAAGTCTTTTAAGTCCTCCTCCCCTTCAGCAAGCAAAGTTGTGTAATCAGCCTAACACAGATTATAATAAAAAGTATTCCACCTATCTTGATGTGATTTTTTTTCCTTTACAAAGTCCAGCTTCCGAAGGATTTCTTGAAAACACAAACTGAATAAGTACAAAGAAAGGATACAACCATGACAAACACTTTATTTTATACCATGTAGTGTTTCCTGGCTCTGTTCAGACAATGGTTTCTTGGTCTAGATAGACGTTTCACAAGAGCATGATTAAATGTTCTGGCATACATTTTCTTCTCAATGTTAACTAGTATTCGTTACAATTAACATAGTCAAATGTTGTCATGTTAAGGGTCTACTGTTCAGATGACTTACCTGTCCATTAAATTTTACTTGGCCATACAGATCGGGTGGGAATGTGCTAGTAGTGAGTGTTAGCCTATCCAGAAGGGAATAAGCTAGTCTCACGATTGAACTGAGCAGATTCAGTGGTAGATCTGGAGAATCTCACCATCAGGAAAGGAGATGCAGGCAAGTACTGTGTGTTTTCTAGATCACAGATTCTTTCTTTTTTTCTTTTTCTTTTTTTTTTTTTCAGATTCTTACACCAGCTAGACCTCCAGTAGCCGCTGTGGCCAAAGTGGAGATCTAGAGACATGACATTAATTAGGTAGAGAGAACTTTGGGACTTCTACCCTATGGAACAAGACCTAAGACACTTTGCAAAGTTTGTTGGAAGACTGAAAACCCTGAGAGCCATAAATGGTGGAGCTGAGAGCTTTGTAACACCGGTCTAAAGCCACAAGACTCAAGGCTGCTAGCACATTTCAGCTGTTCTGACTGACTTTATCTTGCTATTAATCTGAATCATATCCTTTTGTCTTCACTAATAATGGTTCTGTGTGGTCTCTGAACTACCATAACGGATTTAAGCCACAGTAAGATTGGTGTTCTAGGCGCGCACCCGGCAGGACCCACACCCCGCGCTGTCCTGTCCCTGCGCCTGCAGCCTCGATGAGTGCAGCTATGCCCAAGTGCCCGAAGTGCGACAAGGAGGTATATTTCGCCGAGCGGGTGACATCCCTGGGCAAGGACTGGCACCGGCCCTGCCTCAAGTGTGAGAAATGCGGAAAGACGCTGACCTCTGGGGGCCATGCCGAGCATGAGGGCAAGCCCTACTGTAAACACCCCTGCTATGCAGCCATGTTTGGGCCCAAAGGCTTTGGGCGTGGAGGAGCTGAGAGCCACACTTTCAAGTAGATTCAGGGTCCAGCCTTCCTGGAGAATTGCTCAAGGGAGCACAGGCCTCACTTCTCTGTTCTCACCAGCCAACTGCCACACTGCTGCCCCTCCAGGGGCAGATGCCAAGCCCTGACCCCCACTGTCAGCAGCTTCCCTGTACCCACTCACGCTGTCAATAAACTCCAGACACACTGAAAAAAAAAAGATTGGTGTTCTGCTTTTGTCACCTCCACGGAGGACATCCGGCATGTCACAGGAAGTGAGTGAAGAAAGGTGGGTGAAAGCCTGGGTCTTTTTAACTATGAATGCAACCCCATTTTTACTTAGCTTTTCATTTCCAATATAGTAGATTACATTGTTATCTGATTAGAAATATCTCATGCCAACCCATTTTATTTTGCTAATGCTAGAACATCAATATTTATGTGTTCCATTTCTTCCTTAACTATCTCCAGTTTTCTGAAACTCATGATTCTCGCAGTCCTCACTCCAGTTAGTAGTGTCTGTTTACAAATGTTCCTCTTCTGTATGATTTCCAGTAACAAAGCTCTCTCTTGATGCCATATTTGCTAGTCTAAGTGTGCTATACTGTATATAGGGTTTCCCAAGGCTTATAATTTTGGAAATGGATGGTCAATCATTCTCCCTAGTATGCCTTAATTTGAATGCTTGACTTGATAGCAGGATTTCAGACAAGCATTTTATCTGAAGGACTGGCCAGCTGCTTCAGAAATAATAAGCTATTTGAAAACTCTATGAACAATAGAGCACAACTGTATAGTTTGATATAATAATGGAGGTATAACACTCAGATTAGTAGACCCTTGAAATGAGAACAAACAA